CGCTGAACAGGTGCTCAGCTTGTCCTGAGAGAACCAAACCAGAAACCCTAACATGACTCCATGGTTTTCTGAGAAAACGAATCAGAGACTTTTTTTTCCTCTTGAGAAAGATGATTTCGGTCCTCAAGAGATCTTTGTAAATGTCAGTACGGCTGACAACTGCATTTTCATAGACAGATGTTGTTAAATGTGCTTGTGGTAATGATGTTTGTCTAGTGCTCATCTCTAAGGAATTCAGGGCACTTTGCAGCCGTTTTCTTCATTATTTCTTAAGGTTTGTCTTTTTCCCGTTCATATTGTGATTGTGACTATAACTTCATTCAGTTTTTCTCATTGGATTTTCTCTGAAAGACCTCCCGTCAACCCCATTTCCTACTGCATTTCCAGCATTATCTACTCACACCGGGTCAGACATCCTAGAAAAACATCAAGATATTTTCTTTCATTGTCTCAGGCTTCTCCTTCTCTCTTTACTGTTCTTTGTCACTCTTAAAACTTTCCCATTTGTAATATTTTCACTGTGCTGCCTCCCCTTAAAAGAATTTCTTAAAACACACCTTGTTCTTCTACATAAATAGTTCCTACTTTATTTAATTTTAGTTGTTCACTTGTTTCTAACTGTCTTGCCACATAGAGAAGTTGGGGTAACTAATATGAAGTAGTTAGACATGCTCTTTAACATGAGCCCTGTGTATTGGCGTTGTGACTCTATATTCATAGCAGGTTATTTTCCCCAAACTGTTTCTCCTTTTAATCCTCAAGGAATTTGTTAACTTGACTTCTCACTGCAACAATTCATGAAGAAACAAAAAAGAATCATGACTTATGACAAGCTACTCTTTGTATAAACAGATACTCCCTTTCCTTCAGGAATTAACCACTATGAACACGTTTCTTCTTACTGGGCTCTAATCAGAGGGAAGTGTAGTAGGGAGCCTCTGTCCCAAAGAGATCCTGGGATTACATGGAAGATGCTTTAGAAATCACTCCCTTATCTGGTGGATGTGGAAACAGAGGCTCAGGGAGTGTTAGAAATGTGTCCATGTTTAGAATTTAGTTTAGGAGACAATACACCTGAAATTTAAAAAGTCACTAAATAAAGTAGTCAACAGCATGAAATAATGAATGATTTGGTGACTCTGGACAGAGGTGAACTGTTGGATGTTTTACAACTGGAGGCCAGGGAGGAGAGAGGAAGCCCTGATTTGTTCTGTTTGCCAATTTCATGGTGTCCAGGGCCAGTTTCAAGCTACCAACCTGATGCCAACAAGTTGAGAAGAGATGAGTACAATCCAATTGGCCCTTGAGAGTGATAGAGATTATCTGGCCAGAGTGACCAGGCCTTTAAGGGGAAGGAGAACTGAGCTAGACCATTCTTCTTCACACATCGCATCTTTCAGGTTTGAAGGACCATCCGTGGTCTCCCCATCCAGCAGCTATAAGACTGCAACTTGGCTCTTCACCTGATGTGCTATCACCTACATTTCAAGGCCCAGCTCAAAGATAAGGATTTTTGTCAAGCTTATCCCTAATCCTTTCAGAATTAATCACTTCTACTCTGAATCCCAGAGTACTTGATATATACCAAAGCCTAACTTGATATTACTGTCAATAGATAGCGTCTTTCCCCACTAGACAGTCCTTGGAGGACAGGGACAGTGTCTTACTCTTTCATTGCCGGAGAAGCAATACTGTGTGGTGGGTCTGAGCCCAAGCCCTGGAGCCAGACTCTTCAGCTTCAACTCCTGGCACTGCACTCACTCACCTTGAGACTGTGAACAAGTCATTGAACCCTCTGTTCTCACCTGTAAAATGAGAGATTAAACAGTAATCTCCATCTCACAAATTTGCTGTGATGATTAATGAGATTGCTAGATAAGTTCAGTGCCTAGCACATACTAAGCCCTCAGTTAATGTTACTTGGTACTGCCATCTCTAGCATATAACCCAGTGCCTGGCACAGAATTGGTGTGCAGTTGTTGGTTGAGTTGCATTAAAGAGAAGCAAGGATATGATCCAGCTAGCTTGACAGGAGGTTGGGAAAGAGCATGCTAGAGGGGACTGCACAAAAAGGTTATTGTCAGGGAAATGAGCATGATACAGTAAATAAGAATCGGCAGATCATAGAATTGTAGGATCAGAACCTAGTTTTCCAGCTGTGGTGTGATGAGCACAGAGCGGAGTGGGATCATCCGTGCCCTCCCCTCAGCCCACTTGTTGCAATAGCTTGTATGGTCTGCTGTAAATTTCAGCATCTCCTTTTCAATACTGTGCAGTTGCTTTCTAAAAATCTAAATGCTAGACTTTAAGTATATATACTATTAAATTTCATTCCATTTGGTTCACTCCATTATAACAATTAATTCATATTACTTCCAACCTTGACTCTGCAATGCAGCCTGTCTTCTTTGTTTTATGATCATGACTTCTATTTTGTTTTCTGAAACACTATACTGGCCACTTCTGAGAAGAGAGTTCCCTGACATGTCACTAGAGACGCCTTTCAATGTTGGCGTTGATACATTAAAAACCCCTTTTTATATGGATTTTACACTCCTTTCAAATCTAGCAAAGTATATAATCATCTTTATTATACTTCATCATGTTCATAAGGGTGTCATGGAAAACTTTGCCAAAATGCTATGTCTGCAGCATTTTTATTTCACAGATATAGGAAGTCTATCAGAAAAGAAAATGCAACTGGCTTATTGAAACCTTCCTGATGAACCCACGTTAGCTCCCAATACCAACAACTTACTCTTCCAACTTGAACAAAGGATTCATGTTTCAAAATAATGAAGTTAACTGTATCAAGGTAGATTAGGCTTAATGCAGAAACCTAGATGAGAAGTGTGGACACAATCCTGAGGGTGATGGGAGGTTGTTGAAATGTTTGAGTAGGTGCCACATGATGAAGTGATGTTTTAAGGAGAGCCATCTGGCAGCAGTGCCCACAGTGGACTCCAGGAGGAACCTTATGTGAGGTTTGAAGTTAATGGCAATAATCCCAGAGCAGGCTGCTGGACTACGGGGTTAGGGTTGTAGCAATAAAGATGAAGAGAATAAATTTGGAATTAAAAGGGAAAAGTGCAAAGGGACTATTGTGGGGGAGAGAGATAGCAGTGGGAAAAAAAATAAATAAAAATAGGTATTTTTGGACTTCCCAACCATTTTCACATCACTGAATATGCAGAAAATAATATCACTTTGGCCAGTGGGGTAAAAAGGGCTGCTTGGAGATGGAAGTCCCCCAACATCATGGGTCCACAGGGCAGGGTCTTCTCTTCCCCAAGCCCTATCTCCCCTAACCACAGGCAGAAGACATTGATATCTCCATATGCCTGGGAAGCTATTTGAGCGTTTCTGCTGTAGTAATAAGCAGTCTTAGCAATATGAGGAAAGACAGACTTACATGAAAATGAGGGCCACCAGTACAGAAAAGACTATACATATACAAGAAAGCAAATGCTTGGTTCTGTATCATTCTGAACCCAGGAGAGAAATATGGCTCACACACTTGGGAGAAGGCTAACTAGCAGCAGGGTTAATTCCAAACAAGATGGCCCAGGACACCAAGCACCGCCTGTGTTATAGTGACACAGTGAAACAAGGGCAGTGGCTGTGTAGGCCTAACTGGGCCCAGAAGCAGGCAGCACCCGCTAGACAGGTGGGAGGGAGGCACAAACCACACCTAGGGAGGCACTAGATAGAACCTAAGTGTAGACAAAAGTGGAAACTAAGGAGGGGATTTTGGTTTTGTATGAATACGGAAATCTAAGCCCATTAATCTAAGCCTGCTTAAAATTTTATGAAATTCTGCCCATTTTTTGCTCCTTTTTGATTTAATACATTTTATTGAGTTAATACATTAAGTAGTTTTGTAGTCCTAGTGCCTTACCTGTGCACTTAATTTGCATTGCTGCATGGAGGAAATTATAGATTGGGAAAATGCAAGAGCTTGCAATCCATAATTCCTTGTGATAATTGAAGATGTTCGGTTATAGAAAATTAAAAGGTGTTCCCTCTTTCTTCAATAAACTTAATGACAGAGTGAGAACGAGAACCCACCAACACAGTCATGCAGATTGTTATAAAAACAAAAATGAATGGCTCTTCTGAAAGAGAATGGAACCCACGCATTTCTCCTGAGGACTGGCAGCAACGCCACTGTGAGCATGATTCCAGGGGGCACCCGCCTTTCACATTTGAGTATGTGTCAATGGTGCTCCCTGAAGTTGGAGCACAGCCTGCGTGGCCATATGTGGCAGCTCACAGAGGGACCTATATGATTTATCCCGGGCTTTCACCCAGCCCAGCAGGTGCATATCTGTGTTGACCTGTGGCATTCATCACCAGCCCAACCGCACTCCCTTCCCCAGCCAAGCTGAGTCAGATTTCTTTAATCCTGACTTATCATTTTATTCCAATTCAGATCTACCCAGTTTTCCACATGGCTTCCCACTGGACCTCTCTTATAAGCCGAACACATTCTTCTGGCTCATTTGTTTCAGTCATTCTGTTGACCTTTTCAAAGCTATTTGCTGCTCTCACTATCATGTTCATTGTCATAGTTAAGTAGAAAAAACCAGCAGCCACACTGGGCGGGAAACTCTGGCATCCTCCCAGCACTGGGCGCAGGCTTCCGTTTTAGCACTTAACCACACAGCGCTGTAAACATTTGTTTACATTTCTGACTCCTTCACTCAGTGTGAACTTCATGAAAGACAGAAGGATGCTTCTTTGAGCCACAGGTCTTAGCAGGTTCTGGCACACAGTTGGTCCTCTTTTAATGTTTAGTAAGTAGGTGAGTAAATAAGTAGATTACCTTAGATTTGGACACAGTAGACTCATTTTGAACCCATGGTTTAAAGACGATTCTTCCTCAATTATATACAATGCCTGCATCTGTTGGCCTTTGTTTAAATCTTCCTGGGTGAGGCTAGCAGAGCCTGCTATGTCTTTGCCAATGGTTTCTGGGCCTTTTGTTTACCGCTGTACAGGTGGGGAAATGGAAAGACAAGTCTCTGCAGATGAAGTACTACTTGTGGCCCCGAATGTGTCCTGAGACAGAAGAGCAGGAGGATGACCATCTGAGCATCGTAACCCTGGAGGAAGCTCCGTTTGTTATTGTGGAGAGTGTGGACCCTCTGAGTGGAACCTGCATGAGGAACACAGTCCCCTGTCAAAAACGCATCGTCTCTGAGTAGGGCACCTTCCCCATTGGCTTTGGGTGGCATGGGATAGTCAGATTTGACCCAGCTATTAGCACCTGGCTGGCCTGAGACCTGAAGTGTAGAATGAATTGAGCACTGCCTGATTTTCAGTTACCACTGAGCAATGGGATTACTGGCAGCCCTGTGGTCTGATGTTGGTTCTGTCCAGATCATGACCTGGGAGAATTTCTGCTAATTATACTAAAGTTCCTTTGGCCTTGCCTGGTCTCAGTAACTAGAATCTCAAGTTTATGGAGATTCGAGTTTACATTGGTGTTGAAATATGTTTTGGGGAACCAACACGTCCTGAAATTTTGAGATTTAAAAACATTTTAGAAATCAGGACAATGGTTCCCTTTGGTGAGGGTGGGAAGTGCCTAAAAGGGAGCATAAGAGACCTCTGAGGCAGACTCATAGATAGAGAACAGGCAGACTGCTCTGGTGCTGATGGTGAGGGGATGTTAGGGTGGTGAAGGGATTGAGCAAAAAATAAATAAAAATATTATAACTCCAAAAAAAAGGGCCTCTACGGTGCCGGCAACTTCTCTGTATCTGGATTTGGATGCTGGTTTAATAGATGCTTTCACTGTGTGAAAATTCATCCAACCAAACCCTTAGGATAGGTGCACTTTCCTGATGTATATTATACTTCAAAGGAGGATTAGAAATTGTGAGAAAACCTAGTTTGCTGCAGTGAGTTAATGAGAGAATTGCAGCTCTGTGGTCTAACTTATTCCCTCGCTTAGGTCTGATATAAATTGTGCTGAGCTGTGAACGGGGTTGGAGTTGTAATGGCAAAGGGTAATATTTTGCTTCTTATATAAAGCCTTGTTTTTTTGTTTCTTTAACTACTTAGGAATAAAACAGATGAAGAGCCAGGTTACATCAAAAAATGCTGCAAGGGCTTCTGTATTGACATCCTTAAGAAAATCTCCAAATCTGTGAAGTTCACCTATGACCTTTACCTGGTCACCAATGGCAAGCATGGGAAGAAAATCAACGGAACCTGGAATGGTATGATTGGAGAGGTGAGTGTCAGGAATTAAGGGTCATTTCCAGATCATGGCCTGGGAGAATTTTTGTTAACTATACTAATGTTTCTTTGGCTTTGCCTAGTCTCAATGACTAGGACATCTAGTTAATGGAGATTCACGTTTACACTGTTTCATTTCAATATCAAAAACACTCATCTTATAAATCTTAGAAAATATAAACTAGTAAATAGAATATACTGTTCTCACTGTACAAAGGAAACCACGGCAGGGCCATGAGCTATTTTCCTTGGAGAGTCCCTTCGCTTCCTGAGCATTCTAATTGGAGCGTTGCGCCTTTCTCCCCAGGTGGTCATGAAGAGGGCCTACATGGCAGTGGGGTCGCTCACCATCAATGAGGAGCGATCTGAGGTGGTCGACTTCTCTGTGCCCTTCATAGAGACTGGCATCAGTGTCATGGTGTCACGCAGCAATGGGACCGTCTCACCTTCTGCCTTCTTAGGTATGTAATGTGCTTGCAGGCATGAAGGAAATGGACATAAGGGCAGGTGGAGGGAATGAGGCACAGTGAAGGGGCACATGGCCAGGCTCTTTCAGTCAGGAGGTGGTTTGCTAGAAGCTAGGCTCAGCCAGGATTTCATTGGGGGGACTTCAAAATTGATTTTTCTCCAATGTGAAAACTGAAGAACACCTGCTTGCCCAAAGAGAAAGGCATGATACCTTATAAGAAAACAGTGCTGGACTGGTAGTCAGGGGCACCACTTTAGTCCCATTCCTGCTACTTATCACTTCACCTTGAGCAAATATGCTTTATCCTGGGACTCAGGATAAAGAAGAAGACACTTCACCTAGCTGATCTTTGAAGCAGCTTCCTGCTTTAATGATTTCTAATTGTGAATGTTATTGAAATACCTATGATTTTTAAAATTTATTGATTTAAAGAGAGAGAGAAACATCAGTTTGTTGTTCCACTTCTATATGCCTTCATTGATTGATTCTTGTATGTGCCCTGACCAGAGATTGAACCTACAGCCTTGCAACCTTGTCGTATCGGACACGCTCTAACCAACTGAGCTACCTGGCCAGGGTGAAATACCAATGATTTTAAATTTTCTTCAAGAATTGAGCTCAGTACTGCCTTAAAAGTTTTTTTGCTTTCACATGACTTTTCTGAGGCTTTGTCAGATAAAGCTGATATGATTCTCCTCCCCATCCCACTCCATTCAGTGCTTCCCTACTCTCCAGCATTGCTTAAGTGTCAGAAGCCTCAGATATGATATCAGACTGGGTAAAGCCAAGATTTCAATTACATGAGCTTTTTTTGTGAGCTCATATCCCATATTTTTGCAGGGGCTGTGAGAGCAAGGGGTTGGAAAAGAAAATGTCACCTTGAAAACAGAACACTGGGCCAGGAGACAGGAAGCCTGGTTTGATCATAAACAAGCTGTAAGCCCTTGGACAAGTCACGATCTCTCTAAGGGACATGAACTTTTTTTTAATGAGGATGTTGGAATAAGCAGTGACTAACATTTCTTCAAGCTCTATCCAAGGGGGGGTGAGGGAGTTATTCAATGAATGCACTGCAAAGTGGTGTTAGAGGTTCCATAGAAGTTTTCTATAAGTTAATCAAGTTTCTCAGCCAACCTTCTTACTCACAGAAGCAAATTCTGGCTCTCCCAATTTTATATGAAATATTATTAGATAGCACACACTCTAGGTATGCATTAATCCTCAGAGCAGCTTTATGTATTTTATTTGCTTTTTCCTTTACAAAAAGAATTGGAACATTAAGATATACAAACAAAACTCCATTCTAATACTAACCCTGTCAACATAGAACTAACCTTACTTAGCTTCTGAACTGGAAGAGTCAGTGATACATTGGGGCAGCCCTAGAATAACATAGAAATGCTAAGCAGGGTGTGTGCATGCGTGTGTGTGTGTGTGTGTGTGTGTGTGAGAGAGAGAGAGAGAGAGAGAGAGAGTTTGGAGGAAGAGCAATTAGTTAATTATAAGGGTGAGAGAAGCCAATATTTATTGAACACCTACTATATGACGTGTCAGGTATTATTGTACGAACATTGACTACATTATGTCATCAATACTATCATTATACTCATTTTATGGCATAAGTACTGGATCTCAGGTTAAGCAATTTTCCAACAGTCAGCTAGTAACGGGGAGATCCAGGATTGAAGCCCAGATATGGCTGCCTTCAGAGCCTGTGCTCTGATACACATTGGAGCTCTGCAATGCCCTGGTCAGAGACGAAGATTTGATATAATGCAATGGGAAAGCACAGGCCTTTGCCCTCAGTGGACCTCACTTCATAACCTGGCCCTGCTGCTTTCTGAGTGTGAACTTGGAAAGGGCCTTGACCTCTGAGTCTTAATTTACTGCTCTGTAAAATAAATATGGTAATCCCATAATGAAAGTGCCATTACAAGGATTGTATAAAATATGTGTGGAAAGCACTTTCTAAACTGTAAAGACCAATACAAATATAGTGGTGGTGGTTGTTTTTGTTTATTTGTTTGTTTTGTATACAGAAAGTTTCCCTAGGCTAATGGGGAGAAAGAAAGCATAGAGAAAATACTTTTACTCAGTTATTCCCTAATCTTAAACAAAAGTGAAATCAGTGTAGGACTGTAATCAATTGGAGCCAACGGGGAGAGGTGTTCTCCAATCCACTGCACAGAGCCTTTGAATTAATTGTACATTCTGCCTCCATCTCTGGCTGTCACAGAAAGGTTTTACATTTCACAGTTGGCATGCACCTTATCAAAGTCCTTTTCAAATTGATTAAGTGACCAGGCTTTTATAATTCCCTTGGGAGTTCACAAGTAAAGGTTTCAAGTAAGAAAATATTTTCTAATTTCCGGCTATTTTTTCCTCTTTCAACTTCATCTTTATTAATGATTTGGAAAATGGAGAAAGCATCATATTAATTCACTTAGTTACGAATTTACAATATGATATGACAAGCTAAAAAGGCCAGAGCTATTTTGAGACACAATTGAGGGAGGGAGCATTGTATCACGGGACAGATTAGCGATTTCCCTTTTTATAAGCCTTCAGAGAAGCTGCTCCTGGAATATAGTATTCAATTTCTAGACACCTCTAAGCCCAAGAGATTTAGATCTACTGGAAGGAATTCAGCAAAAGTGATTAAAGAAATTAACTAAAGCATTGTGAAATATTATTGCTCTCTTGCCTGATCTTGTCCCATGACCATGTGACCTGATGATAGAGACTAGCTTGTAGCTGTTTGGTTAATTATAGCTGAAGCATGTTCCTCATCATCTGCTCAATTCCCACTATTGTAGATACTGATATTCAATATGGATGTATTATTTTTTTAACACTGACATATATTCTCATACCCTACTAATGTCTAATAAAACATATACAGTAAAGTGGGTTAAAACTGTAAATCTAGGAAAGTTTAAGAGAAGTGAGGGAAGGAAGCTGTTCTTTGTACATAATTATTACAGAACCAATTCAAGCTGGAAATAGTAACTAAGGCTGTTGAGAATGAATTTGGCTATGAGGCTTGGAAGCATTAGTGAAAGCTTTTTCAGGTCTCCATGGTGTCATTATAGATGACACCATAAGCCAAGAATCAGTCCAATATGACCCCTTTACTCTATAGCTAGTATGTCTTCCAGTTGTACCATTTACTGAAAGACCCAGATACTGGTCCAATGGCAGAAACTATCTCTACAATCTCAAAAGTTCACAAGCAAGATGCCCTTTTCATATGTTTGAAAGAAAAGAAACCTTGACATGCCTATCAGGGAAGTGGAGATGCTCAGGCACAGCCTCTTACTCCTCCCAGCCCAGGCCCTGGCTGTCTGAAGAGATGTACGCATCTGTAGTTTGTTTCCCCAAAAAATACATGTTACATCAGTGAAGAAATACGTAAATTAATTAGACTTTCTTTGTTCTCATTTTAACCTTCAGCACTGGTTTTTTCCTCCCTCCCCAGAGCCCTTCAGCGCTGACGTGTGGGTTATGATGTTTGTGATGCTGCTCATTGTCTCAGCTGTGGCCGTCTTTGTCTTTGAGTACTTCAGCCCTGTGGGTTACAACAGGTGCCTCGCCGATGGTAGAGGTAAGGCCATTACAACCACTGCACTGCTGCGTTTTTCTAGTTCTCAATTTTGAACCTCTGTACCTTCCATTTGCTGTCTGCCTTCTCTTTAACTTGCTCATTTCTGAAAATGAATCCTCAGTCATGTATGTCACCAATTAAAGTGTTAGTTTGAATCTATATGTCCCTTCCCTGGTTCAAGCCTGACCCCAAACCCAGTTCCACCCACAGGAAAATGAAGGGAAAGCTGACAGGAGATACCTATTGCATGGACATGTAAGAGGAAGCTATTTTGATAACCTTAGGCTAAGAGCAGACTAAGAGAGTAGTTGTAGCTGAGAGAGTTCTCCAGAGCCAAAGGATCACCCCTGAGGTATAGGATCTCCGAAGCACGTGTCCTGCCCTAATCCTCTGCGAAGGAGTTTAGGAGTTGGATGTTTGCAATACAGTGGCCAGGAGATAACCTGGCCCCTGTACCCTTCTAGTTGTCACCTCAGCTACTTTGGGGGAAGTCCAATTTCCTCGCTAGTTAGGGCCAGAGATGTGAGGGCTGTCCGTGTGTTTGAGGCATTATTGAGACTTCACAAAAAGTTTATTATCTTTATGAAGGGGGCCATGGGATCCTTATAAATAGCTCTTCTAAAACTTCTTGAAACCTCTGGGTTAGAAAATATTACACCTTTTCTTGAGAGCTTTATCCTGGAATTAGGCCTTTAAGATGAAAGATTCTTAGGTTCTTAACCGTGGCTACACATAAGAATTATCCATGGGACACTTGAAAAACAAAGGTGCATGGACCTCACTTTCAAATATTCTGATTCACTAAGACCAGAGAGGGCTCACACCATTGTATGCTTCAAAACAGTGGTTCTTTACCTTGATGTAGATTAGAATAACTACCCCACAACAGTTTAATAAGAATCTCTGGAAGTGGGTGCCAGGCTGCTGTATTTTGTAAAACTTCCCTAGTGCTTTTGCTGACTTCACAGTCCATGCTGTGAACCACCACAGCACCAAAGTATTTCCAGGTGCTGACCTACCTTCTCATTTGGTGTGTGAATTCTGGGTGGAAGTTTGGATGTTTCCACAGTATGGTATAGTCGGGCTTTCTGCCTGTGCCAGAGGGTCATCTAGAAGCCATGACCTGTTCCCCATCCTGATGGGCGTTAGTAACAAGTGAAACATCTGAGAAGCACATGAGTATATACATATGTTGACAATGTCAAGAGCTAAAGTTAGTGTGCCCCCCTCCCCTACACTGGAAGAAAATCAAGGAGGCAAAAATTCAGACATAAAATTCAGAGCAAGAACTTACTTTACAATTACTCACTTTACCAAATGATGCTTTGTCTTCACAAACGAATTCAACATGGGGCCACTTTAAATACTAAGTCTCCTTGAGGAATTTTACAATGTATAAAACTTTGATTTATAAACATCTTTTTAGTTACACATCTGTTCCATGAAATGAGGTCCACACACACAGATGTATGTGCACAGTTAGATATTAGGCTCGACATGTGTAGTCACTGATGATTTAGTTGGCAGAGCAGATGCTGTAGGATCACAGATAGTATCGTAAGACCTCTGTTAATGTGCTGTAAAACTGTGCAGGCAGATGTTCATTTCTGCAGTGGAGGGGCTGCATGCAGACCCAAGCATCAGGCAAGATTTCATCATCACCAAGCAGAGAAAGCAGTAAGGTCACAAGAAAATTATTGGCAGAAGTCTTGACACTCTGTGTGAAGGTTGGAGGGAGGAAGGTCAAAGGCAGCCTGCCTCCCTGCCCACAGGGACATGTGGCCAAGCCCGGGGTTTATGACTACCTGTCTGGGCTTCCTGATATTCCTTTGCACAGGAGCTGCTACTGTAGGAAACCATTTGGGAAGTGTTGGCATTGGAGTAGGGTCAGAATTGTCCTTGAAACATTCAGTGCTAAATGCTAGAAGCTAGAGAAAAACCAGGATGAAGTGCATTGGAAGCTATTCAGCATCAGTGTGAATAAAATTTCTATGGCAATGGTAGAAAAAGACCTCACACAGTTCTTGCTGATTTTTTTGGAAGCTGAAATACTTTCTTGATAGATATAAATATAAGTTTTAAGAATAATGGGAATAGAGATGCTTGTGTGATGATAATGGGCTAGTTGCTTTTATTATTCAGACTTGATATGATCTTGAGGGTCTTGATCTTGGGGGCAGAAAGCTGGCCCCTCCAGTACCCTGGCTGAGTCACAACCATTAGTTGGAGCAAGATCCTACACACTCCCCAGGCCTCTGGTTTTTCTCCTGAGGAACTTTCTTATGCCTTCCAGGGGGTCCCAGAAGACAGACACAAGCTCTCAACTTAAAAAGCTTTCTGTGGAAGGGCTGGGGCTCAGTTGGAGTGTTCCTCTTCTGAGCAGGAACTTACCAGCTCTGTGTACTTGTAGGTGTCAGTAGCACCAGCTACTCTGTCTTAAATTTCTCTGTTTGTCTTTTATGCGTTTCAGAGCCAGGTGGCCCGTCTTTTACCATCGGCAAAGCTATTTGGTTACTCTGGGGTCTGGTGTTTAACAACTCCGTCCCGGTGCAGAACCCAAAGGGGACCACCTCCAAGATCATGGTGTCAGTGTGGGCCTTCTTTGCTGTCATCTTCCTGGCCAGCTACACTGCCAACTTAGCTGCCTTCATGATCCAAGAGGAGTATGTGGACCAGGTTTCCGGCCTGAGTGACAAAAAGGTAAGAGAACCACTTAAAACCTTTTGTCTTTCCCTCAATCCCATTCTGAACCATACTTAAAGTTCTCATGTACCTGTTAATTTTTCTAAATCCTTAGAATCCACAGTTCTTTCTTATGTTTCCTTAACTTGGAGGAGGTCTTAAATGGGAGCAGAAAACAGTGTCCTTACTGAAATAATAGTACTTCACATTCACCTTCTGATTTGTGAAAGGTTGTCATAAGTACGCCCTGGGCTGCAAATAAGGGGCTTGGTGTGTTAGCAGCTTCCTGAGTACGTGGTACTTGTTGTTGGATACACTTGGGTGGCCTATCCACACAGGGCTGCCTTTTGGTGTGTTATTAGAGGGCAGCTCTGTGCACCCACACTGAGGGCACTGGCCCATTGTGGCCTTCATTTTCCTCCCAGTGGGGTTTGGCTGTGGGCTCTCCCTTTGTTTCCCTGCACACTCGTGTGTTCCCAGGGCTGAGCAGGAGGGTTGTTCTCCTTGTGTCCTGAAGAGAAGCAACTGCTATTTAACTTGATTGCTCTGTGTGGTGCTGATGAATCGGCTGCCCTCATACCAATTGCAGGCCTCCCCGCTGGCCCTTGCAGTTGAGACAGGAAGAAAGTGTCTGCTGGCTTCCATCTTTTCTGGGTGCAGATGTGCAAAACCCATTCTAAGCACATCTGACTCTCTAGGTCTGCTGGAAGCATCGCAGTTTCCATGGGAGCTCTGTCTCCTGAAACCATGATAACCAGGTGGTCCAAGACTAGGGATAAGAGCTACCTTTATGGAGTGTCCAGTAAAGCTCCCGGGTATCCCCAAATAATTCTGGAGACTTGTACTTACAGCAAATTTTCTACTCTCTGTTTCTGTAAAATTTAGAAAATGTTGATTTCCCATCCCTTCTACCATGATGAAACCATGAAATAGAGAGAGATGTCTATTCTAGGTCAGACAGTGAATGACTTATCACATGGGTGTGGTTTCCCAAAGATATAATTTGAAACACTTAGCAAATGGTTTGAGAAGGTTGAAAAGGAGGAGATATTCTTTTTGGGGCCTCATTTCTGATTTTTCCATCTGCTCATCGCTACTCACCAAGAACATTCAAAAGCATGTGAGGAAGATAAATAAGCTCCTTAAGGGAATGAAAAGCCACAGGTGTATGTGTGTGTGTGTCTATATATATATATATATATATATATATATATATATATATATATGTGTGTGTGTGTGT